ACCGTGTCAGCGAGGATGGTCTCGATCTCCTGACCTCGTGATCCGCCCGTCTCGGCCTCCCAAAGTGCTGGGATTACAGGCTTGAGCCACCGCGCCCGGCCATGTGTGTTTCTTTATTGAACCCCAAAGGTATAAACAGACCAGGTTCCTCTCAGCTCTTAAGCTCCTTGCTTTTCTACTGTGTTACCTGATTTTCTTTTGTCTAAAAAAGTTATTACTACACAGCTACTCTTTAATGAAACCAAAAGTTGGTTCATTGAAAAGATCAACAAAAATCTGAAGAACATTTAGCTAGACTAACAGAAAAAAGGGAGACAGCTCAAATTACTCAAATCGAAATGGAAGTGGGGGCCAGGCGTGGTGGCGCACGCCTGTCATCCCTCCATTTTGGGAGGCCGAGGCGAGTGGATCACTTGAGGTCAGGAGTTCGAGACCAGCCTGGCCAACGTGGTGAAACCCTGTCTCTACTAAAAATATAAAAATTAACTTGGGGAGGCCAAGGAGGGTGGATCACTTTAGGTCAGGAGGTCATGACCAGCCTGGCCAACATAATGAGACCCCATATCTACTAAAAATGCAAAAAGTAGCCAGGCATGGTGGCACACACCTGTAATCCCACCTACGTGGGATGCTGAGGCAAGAGAATCACTTGAGCCTGGGAGGTGGAGGTTGCAGTGAGCCAAGATCGTGCCACTACATTCCAGCCTGGGCAACAGAGCGAGACCCTGTCTTAAAAAAAATAAAATAGGTCCGGGCACGGTGGCTCACACCTGGTATCCCAGCACTTTGGGAGGCCGAGGCAGGTGGATCGCCTGAGGTTGGGAGTTCAAGACCAGCCTGACCAACATGCAGAAACCCCATTTCTACTAAAAACACAAAATTAGCTGGATGTGGTGGCACATGCCTGTGATCCCAGCTACTTGGGAGGCTGAGGCAGGAGAATCACTTGAACCCAGATGGCAGAGGTTGCCGTGAGCCAAGGTCACACCACTGCACTCCAGCCTGGGCAACAAGAGTGAAACTCCATCTCAAAATAAATAAAATAAAATAAAAATAAGTAATTAAATAAAATATAGACAAAAATTAGCCAGGTGTGGTGGTGGGAGCCTATAATCCTAGCTGCTCAGGAGACTAAGGCAGGAGGAATCACTTGAACCTAGGAGGCAGAAGTTGCAGTGAGCCAAGACTGTGCCACTGCACTCCAGTCTGGGTGACAGAGCAAGACTGCGTCTCAAAACACACACACACAAAGAAAAAAAGAAAAAGAAAAGAAATAAAAGTGGGGGCCGGGCACAGTGGCTCACGCCAGTAATCCTAGCACTTTGGGAGGCCAAGGCAGGTGAACTGCCTGAGCTCAGGAGTTTGAAACCAGCCTGGCCAACATGGTGAAACCCCATCTCTACTAAAAACAAAAAATTAGCTGTGCGTGGTGGCACATGCCTGTGGTCGCAGCTACCTGGGAGGCTGAGGAAGGAGAATCTCTTGAACCAGGAGGTGACAACTGCAGTGAGTTCAAATCACACCACTGCACTCCAGCCTGGGCAACAGAGCAAGACCCTGTCACCCAGACAACAACAAAAAAAGATGATTTCTGGGAAAAAAACTTTTTGTGATCAAATTGGCTGTAATTAAAAGGAAATTATTTATAAGTCTTTCTAGAAATTAGGCTTAGATATTAAAAATACACTATCACACTAAAGAATTTGTTAAAACGACTATTTTAAGATACTGATTAATAAAATCACAAGAGGTTTTAATTTTTTTTAACCCAAAAGTTGAACTTTTACTGCATCTTGCTGTTTTCTCTTTGAGAAGACCTGAGATAACAACTCCCTCCAACTTTTTCGTCAGCTCCTGAACTTTTTTCCCCTCAAGTTCTAACTGCTGTTGTGGCCTGATGCCAAAAATGTTTTCCTCTTAAAAATCCAAAAGAAATGTTTTCTTCTAATGTAACATTTTGTGCTCTTGACTTTTTTAAATATGTCTAAATTGTTCTATGAAACTGAAAACCTTTATGACCCAGGACACACTCTTCCTATGTCTGATTAATTCAGGTACCATTTTCATTAGTTTTGCAATAGACTAATAGACCAACACACACACACACACACACACACACACACACACACACTCATAAAATCTGGCCAGGGGCAGTGGCTCATGCCTATAATCCCAGCACTCTGGGAGGCCAAGGTGGGCGGATCACAAGGTCAGGAATTTGAGACCAGCCTGGCCAATATGGTGAAACCCCGTCTCTACTAAAAATTATAAGAATTAGCTGGGTGTGGTGGCACATGCCTGTAGTCCCAGCTACTCAGGAAGTTGAGGCAGGAGAATCGTTTGAACCTGGGAGGCGGAGGTTGCAGTGAGCTGAGATAGCACCACTGTACTCCAGCCTGGGCAACAGAGTGAGACTCCATCTCAAAAACAAACAAAAAATCTGTTAGACCAGTTATAGAAAGGCGGAAAAAAAAAACCAAAAACCTGCTGTGGTGTGATTGCTTTACCCTATAGGGCGGGAGTCTATTAGGTCGCACCAGTGCACTCCAGCCTGGGCGACAGAGCGAGACTCCGTCTCAAAAAAAAATAAATAAAAGAAAATAGATTTAAATTTTTAAAATTAAGGTTAGCATATCCATGTAACATTTTGTATTGCTTTTAAAGTCCTTCTGCTGTTAAGTCACAGGGCTGTGATTCCTAGCCCTGTGCACGCCTATAGTCCCAGCTACTAAGAAGGCTGAGGCAGGAGAATCACTTGAACCTGAGAGGCGGAGGTTGCAGTGAGCTGCGATTGCACCACTCAACTCCGGCCTGGGTGACAGATCAAGACTCCATTTCAAAAAATAAATAAAATCAAATCTCCACAGGTAGTGACTATGCTCACCTGATCATATGTAAAGTGCTGATTTACTGAATGCAAGACAAACACACATTGACTATTCCCCTCACTGCTCCCTTCTTCTTACAAAATGTGGATTCAGTAATGGGACCAGACCCTCCCTCTTTCCCCTACAGCCTGCTTTTCCCCTTTAAGTTCTGAAGCCCTCAAAATCATCTTTGGAGAAAGGCACAGGTCTCTCTCCCAGATATGCCCTTAACCTTGGCAAAATACACTTCAATTAATTGAGACCCATCTCAGATACTTTTTGGTTTACTCCTCTGTCTGCCATGTCACTGGCCTCCATCTCCCACCGATGGTCACCAAGACTGCTGAGGAGGCTGCAAAGGGCCTCGCGGCCTCACTACCTTTTGGACTTCTCTGGCCTTCACGGGACCTTCTGTGGCAGAAATCATTTTCATAATCATGAGACTCTTCTCCTCGGAGTTTCCTTTCAACAGGTGGGACATGGATGCTGTGAACTGCTCCTGGGACACATTCTCACTGGGTCCCTTCGCCTTCCCTGTCAGGTCGACCCTCCGCATGCCATCGTACAGCCTGGTGACCATCTCCAGGGGAACAGCTTCCCCGACGTGGTTCTGCCGGGGACAAGCAGAGAAAATGGTTAGACAGTGCACGAGTTGAACTTGGTAACTAGGAGTTATTAAATTATTTTAGGCAGATAGAGAGGAAAAGGGATGCTTGGGAAGTTTTCATTTTTTAAAGCATCTCTGAAAAACTTTCTTGTAAAGCCCCAGCTCTTAGAGCCAGGCCGGCAACCTTTGATATGCAAATGCAGTCCATTAGAAACTGGGTCCACCCAACATGGTAATTCCCACGGCCTTCCTGCCCTTTCCCTACATGTTCCTGGCAACATGGCCGCCTCCACATATCCCCATGTGTGTAGAACATCCAGGGCCCCCTGCATTTACACATTGAAAGGCTAGGGCGGGAGGGCCAGCTTTTTCATGGGCCACATGAATGACATACCTGGTCAAACCAATCCCGAGACCTACACAAATCAGACATCACCTCCTCCAGCCTCTGCATATATACCTGGCTGGTGTCCACCGCACTTGAGGACCTCTTCTTTTGGCTCTGGAGCCGCCCCTCCCTCTGTCTCTGTACAGGGGAGCCTCTTCCTTCTGCCTTCTCCTTCCTTCTTGCCTATTAAACTCTCTGCTCCTTAAAGCCACTCCACATGTGTCCATGTCATTTTATCTAAACTGGCATGAGGACCAAGAACCCTGGTGTTCTTCCACTCACTGGGAGCCGTATCAGTAGTATCACAGGAAAGTAAGTAGGGGGCCAAGACCAGCCTTGGCCACTTCACAATGCTGCTGTCAGCTACCAAATACTCCTGCATCACCAGGATGCAGGATGTTCTCTCACCTAAGGGCCTCACACCACCTAAGCGTCCTGGGTGTGGCTCACCTTGGCCATCAGACCCTCCCACAATCTGCTCCCATCCTGCCTCCAAACTCTCCTATCTCGTCATTCCTGCCTCTGGCCACCATCTGAGCTTCACTCTGCTTTGAAAATCATCTTCCTTCTAGATTCTAGCAGCTGCCATTTGCATGTCGGAATTTATTAACACGTGTAACATATGTCTGTATACAGCTAATTTGGTCTCTGTATTAGGGGTTTCCAAATATACCAGCTTTTACTTCCTGTCCATGTTCCTTGGGCTCAATATGCATTTTTCATTCATTTTTATTTCAATTTTAAATTTAGGGTTTTTTTGTTTTGTTTTGTTTTGAGACAGGGTCTCCCTCTGTCACCCAGGATGGAGTGTGGTGGCTCAATCACAGCTCACTGGAGCCTCTACCTCCGAGGCTCAATTGATCCGCCTACCTCAGCCTCCTGAATGGCTGAGACTACAGGCACATGCCACCACGCTCACTAATTTTTGTATTTTTTGTAGAGATGGGGTCTTGCAGTATTGCCCAGGCTGGTCCCAAACTCCTGGGCTCAAGTGATACTCCTGCCTTGGCCTCCCAAAGTGCTGGGATTTCAGGCATGAGCTACCGTACCCAGCAAATTTAATTCTTAATGCCTGGACGATAACATTCTAATGAAATATTGTTTTCCTTTTTGGCTCTTGCATCAAATCTGCTTTGGTCCTGGATTTACAACTAAATGGAGAGAGCGAGCAAATCACAAGCCAATCACATCCTGCACAGCAGGGTCTGCGAGCTGGACTCTCCTGTAACAACCAGCTGGGTGGACACTGCTTATTCCAGGATCAATATTCTGCAGCTCTTCGAAGGCAGGCCTCTGCCCTCGCCACTCAAAAAGAGCACTCCTATTTCTGTCAGTGTCTGCAAAGTTCTACTGGAAAAGCTACCTCTCATCCTTTCCTCAAGGAAACTTCATTCCATCACCAAGGTCTTCTGATCAACTCTTAACTGTATGTATCTGAACATTAACACCCACTCTACAGTGCAGTCTGAAATGGGCCTGGCTGATTCTGCTTGTTCCCACAGGCCTCCCGGGGCGCTTCTCATCTAGTGGCGCTGCACACACGCATGCACACACATGCACAACACATGCACACACATGCACACAACCACACAGCTGTGACCTAGATAACCTCCCTGGCCAGTTTCCTCATCTGCTCCCACGCTGCACATTCTAGAAGAGGAAGGAGGCTGCTAGGATGGCTGCCTGGACTCCCAGGAAGATGAGCTGACGGTATCTCCTTGTCAGCGTCTTGCCTCAGTCTGAGCACTCAAACCTGCAGCTGAGAGCCCCGTGGAATGGGCAAAAACATGGGCAAATGGGCAGTTTTAACTCCCCGCAAGATGAGCCTTGAATCTAAAATGTCATGATTTCGTTAGGAATATCATAAAATTCCTAGCCATCGAACACATACACATTCTAGAGGCACAGGTGCACCTGACATGTCATGGTTCCCGGACCAACAAGTCCACGAAGGCAGACCCGTCACCCAGTCTGTCTCCCCGTCTCTGGGAGGGCAGTTAGGAGGCACATGGCTCAAGAGACACAGGAGGTAGGCTATCTCCCTGATGTTCATCTCAAGTTAGAAATGTCCCCAAAACATCGCATCAATCATTCATCATCTACTCCAGGTTCTTTTCTTTAGCACCGATAAGAGACTATTGATTTCCAAAAGCGGAGGGATGTGTTTAGACACTGCCTATGGCTATTTTCATACAGTAACAGCAGAGCAGAGGAGCTGCAACAGAGACCACATAGCTCACAAAGCCAAAACTTACTGGCCCTTTACAGAAAAGGAACTTTTTAGTGTTGCCATCCGTCGCATTACAAAAACAAGAAAGCAGATTCTGGCCTGAGGGCCACAGTCTGCAGACCCCTGCTCCCAACTAAACACGAACCACTGGTTGTTACTCTTGCCTGTAGTGCCTTCAGAGAAAAGGATTTGGAGGAGACATTCGGACTGTTTTTATCCGATGACAGAGCATCAAACAATCGATCAATCTCTGCCTGTTCCTCAGGAAGAAACCATGAACAAAAGCTCTGCCCCACACGGCTTCCGCTGTTCCCCATCTGTTCTGGTATCTGGCAGAATTCTCTGCAGAAGCAAAAGACACAACGTTAGAAAAATCAAAATTTAATGATCACAGAAAATAAATGTTGGTAATGACATGGTCAAGTTAATATATATTGACTTAGCCACGAAATGCAGCGAAAACACATCAGAGCTACATAATATTGGTTTTGGGTTCTGTTTTTGTTTTGTGTTGCTGAGGTGGGATCTCACTCTGCTGACAAGGCTGGAGTGTAGTGGTGCCATTACAGCTCCCTGCAGCCTCAACCGCCTGGGCTCAGGCAATCCTCCCCACTCAGCCTCCTGAATAGCTAGGACTACAGGACCACACCATGATGCCTGGCTAATTTTTTTTTTGTCTTCTGTAGAGATAGGGTCTTGTTACGTTGCCCAGGCTGGTCTCCAGCTTCTGGCCTTAAGTGATTCTCCTGCCTCAGCCTCCCAGTGTTGGGATTAGAGACATGAACCACCATGCCTGGCTAATATTGTTTCAAGGTGGCAGAAATTAATAGCTGATACAAAAAAGCTAGAAAAACGCATCCTGACGCCCATAACCTACTGAAACACACCCGTAATTGTCAAAAAGTCTGGGTTTGAGAACATAGTGCCCAAGCTAATATAATCAGAGGCAGAACAAAAAATCTGTATTTTAATCAATCGAAATATTCATTCTTTAAAACCAGAGTTGGAAAAGATGTATCAAAGGCTGAACAATCACATGTATTTGATTAACTCACCTTGAGAATACTGCTACACACTAGTTGGGAAGTTTTTCCTTTGTGATCCTGGCTCTGCCTCCTCTTAGCTGTGTAGTCTTGGGCAAGTTACTAAAACGCTCTCTGCTTCAGTTTCCCCAGTTGTAAGCAGGAGAAGTCACAGCCCAGCCTCAGAAGATTGCCATGATTATCAACCAAGTCAACCAAAGCAAAGGGCCAAGACCTCCCCGGCACTGAGTGTGCCTGTATGATCCTAGCCCACGAGCCTCATGCGTCTGAGGCGCCGGAGGAGCATTAACAGAGACTGGCACCGACATCAGGTGACCTGGGGCCTTGTTCACTGTCACAAACCTCATTAAAGGAGTAAGTCAAGCACCAGTACATCGGGGGATTCAAACAAAAAAGCATGGTTAGAAATGACAACAAAATCTCTCAAGAGGTAAAAGGTGCTGTGACTTAATTCCTGGCCCTGGACTTTTTCCGGAAACCCAGTGTCAATGAGACTGCTGGAGAGACAACCACCTTCTCCCGCACAGGCACCTTGACAAACAAAGTCACTGCAACAGTAAATTATCCCCCAAGGTATTTAGCCAAAGGGGGAAAGGCCACGCTACTAGGGTGGGGCATGAGTCATGGTCCGCACCAACACCTGAAATTCAAACCCTCAAGGGATAACAGGGTACAGTCAAGATCTTTCTTTTCTTTTCATTGATATGACATTCACATAACATAAAATTAACTGTTTTAAAGTGTACAGTGGTATTTAGCACATTCACAATATGGTGCAACCCTCACGGTTCAAAAACATTTCCATCACCCTCAGAGGAAACCCTGTGCATGAGCAATTCCCTCTCATTCCTCCCTCCCACATGCCCTGGTCATCACCCGTCTACTTTCTGTCCCAGTGCATTTCTGTATTCTGGGTGTTTCATATAAATGAAATTATATGGCCGGGCGCGGTGGCTCACACCTGTAATCCCAGCACTTTGGGAGGCCAAGGCAAGAGAATCACTCGAGCCCAGGAGTTTGAGACCAGCCTGAGCAACATAGCAAGACCTCACCTCTACTAAAAACGTAAAAATTAGCCAGGCACAGTGGCATGTGTTTACAGTCCCAGCTGCTCTAAAGGCTGAGGTGGGAGGATCGCGTGAGCACAGGAGGTCAAGGCTGTAGTGAGCTATGATCGTGCCACTGCACTCCAGCCTGGGTAAAAGGGCAAGACCCCATCTCTAAAAAAATAATAAATGGAATTATATGATATGTGGCCCTTTATGACTGTCTCCTTTCATTTAGCATCACGTTTTTGAGGCCCACCTACGTTGTGGTGTGGGTCAGCATTCCACTTTTTATGGCTGATGAGTATTTCGTTGTATGGATGGGCCACATTTTGCCTGTCAATCATGAGCTGATGGACGCGGGGGCTATTTCCACCTTCCGGCTATTATGAATAGTGCTGCAACGAACATCTGAGTACCTCAGTCCCTCTGTTCCAATTTCCAGTGTCGACACCTAGAGGTGGACTTGCTGGGGCACGTGGTAATTCTATGTTTAACATTGTGAGGGGCCGCCAGAGTGCTCCCCACTTTATATTCCCATCAGCAAAGCATGAGCTTCCAGTCTCACCACACCCCCACTAAAGCGAGTTATTTCTCCGCCTTTTATATGACAGCCATCCTTGCAGCGCATGGGCGTTTCACAGGCCTCACTGCTCAAGTGGCCCCTGCACAGGAAGTCTCCAGTGGGGGGCTCCTTGGAAGGGGATGGAGGTGCACTTTGCAGAGACAGGCTGGAAACAGGGGCTTACGCGACCCCGTTTGGTGCTCTTACCCATGCCCCATCTGATCTCACCGCTTCTACTGCTCAAGTTTCGCAGCAGGAGGAGAGCCCAGAAGGAAAACCTCCAGCCAGGACTCAACGTCCAGTGGCAAAGGGCTGTCCCCAGCTCCGAGACAGAGGGGCCGCGCCAGCTGACCCAGCTCCGAGACAGAGGGGCAGCGCCAGCTGACCCAGCTCTGAGACAGAGCAGCCAAAACAAAGCAGACCCACCCTCTGCTTCAACTCTAAGAGGCTGCAAGGTGGGCCACACCACCTCCTGAAGTCAGGAGTTCCAAACGAGGTTGGCCAATGAAGTGAAATCCCGTCTCCACTAAAAATACAAAAAATTAGCCAGGCGTGGTGCTGTGCACCTGTAATCCCAGCTACTTGAGAGGCTGAGGCAGGAGAATTGGTTGAACCCAGGTGGTGGAAGTTGCAGTGAGCTGAGATCACGCCACTGCACACCAGCCTGGGCGGTGAGTGAGACTCGTCTCAAAAAAAAAAGAAAAAAAAAAAAGAGAGGAAACAGAGACAAGGGCATGGGGACGGGTGTGGCCTGGGGATATAACAAGAAGAGTCAAGAGTGGAAAAGGTCCCAAAGGTCACATTCCAGCTGGGTCTTCAGAGACTCACAGGTGGCTCACCAGGAAGTGGGAACAGCATGCAAGGGGCACAGGCGAGAGCATGGGGAGATGAGGGAGGAACTCGGGGCACATGGGGGAGGGGCAGCAGAGGGCTGCAGCGCAAGGGGGCCCTGGCCTGACTCCACCCAGCCCCTCACTTCCATCCCACTGCAACTCCCCCTTTCCGCCAGAAACAGGCTCCCCCACTGTGGTCGCAGAACAGTAGCAGGGTGCAGCCTGGCCAGCCCCCACCGTCCCCAGATGGCCGGGAGAAAGGTGCAGGGCTGGGCAAGTGCCAACAGGCAGGATAGGAGCCCAGAAATGCACAGAAGCGGCGCAAACCAGGGCAGGCCCAGGAGATGACAGGAAAGGCTTAGACGCAGAGCCAGGCAACGCCAGTTTTTCAAGCAGGAGAGAGAAGGGTGTGTGAGAGCCCCCCAGTAGGAACCCCAGGGCTGGTGCCAGTGAGGTGGGAAGGTGGGCAGCCCCTAAGAACACAGCGCTGTCCCCGGCACTGCCATTCTTAGTGCCTGCAGAGTGCTGATGAAGGGACACATCTCAGAATGGCTCAAGGACAGCCTGTCTCCTTTGAGAGCCCTGTGCCAGGCAAGATAAAGAAATGGCAATGGTTGGCCGGGCACAGTGGCTCACGCTTGTAATCCCAGCACTTTGGGAGGCCGAGGCGGGCAGATTACCTGGGGTCGGGAGTTTGAGATCAGTCTGACCAACATGGAGAAACCCCATCTCTACTAAAAATACAAAATTAGCCAGGTGTGGTGGCACATGCCTATAATTCCAGCTACTCAGGAGGCTGAGGCAGGAGAATCGCTTGAACCCGGGAGGCAGAGGTTGCAGCCAGTCGAGATCGTGCCATTGCACACCAGCCTGGACAACTGCATCTCAAAAAAAAAGAAAAGAAAAGAAAAAAGAAAAAAAGAAATGGCAGTGATACAAAGTGTTCCACAGTTCATGCATCCTCGCGCCTCAATCTCTTTCATCAGGCCAGACATCTAATTAATTTGGAGGAGGACATGAAGGCCTTTAATGCATTCTTCTCTCTCTAAATCCAAGTTCCTGAGCTTTCAGTCCCTGGCAAGTTTTCTTGGTGTCATGGGACTTTCAGAGTACACCTTGGTACATGGGGTGGCCTCTTCCCTGCCAAGTTGTGTATAACACAACCCTACATTGGCCGCGAGACTTCTGTGGGTTCCCTTGTATCAAGTTCTCCTAAAGGACAAGGCACGCCGGGCGCGGTGGCTCACGTGTAATCCCAGCACTTTGGGAAGCCAAGGTGGGTGGATCACCTGAGGCTGGGAGTTCGAGACTAGCCTGACCAACATGGAGAAACCCCATCTCTACTAAAAATACAAAATTAGCCGGGTGTGGTGGTGCATGCCTGTAATCCCAGCTACTTGGGAGGCTGAGGCAGGAGAATCACTTGAACCCGGGGGGCGGAGGTTGTGGGGAGCTGAGATCATGCCATTGTACTGCAGCCTGGGCAACAAGAGTGAAACTCTGTCTCAAAAGAAAAAAAAAAGGACAATGCACACTGATGCTGAGAGCACACGTCAAGGTTGCTTATACCAGTGGAGCTCAACTGCGGGTAGTTTTGTCCCCCAGGGGACATTTGGCGATGACTGGAAAAGCATGTGGTTGTCACAACTGGGGAGGGGAGTGCCGCTGGCATCTAGCAGGCAGAGGCCAGGTATGCTGCTAAAAATCCTACAGTGCACACGATGGCCTCACAACAAGGAAGTGCCCGTGTCAGACATCAGTAGGGATAAAGGTAAGAAAACCTGGCTTCTGAGGATGTGGGGCAGTGGAACAAAATGGAAGCCAGGTGCGGTGGCTCAAGCCTATAATCCCAGAACTTTGGGAGGATCATTTGAGGCCAGGAGTTTGAGACCAGCCTGGGCAACACAGTGAGACTTCGTCTCTGCCAAAAATACAAAACTTAGCCAGGTGTGGTGGCGTGTGCCTGTAGTGTCAGCTATTCAAGAGGCTGAGGTGGGAAGATCCTTGAACCCGGAGGCAGAGGTCGCAGTGAGCCAAGATTACAATACTCCACTCCAGCCTAAGTGACAGAGAGAGACCCTGTCTCAAAAAAATAAAAACAAAAGTCTCAGCAGCCCATAATAAGTGACAAAGATTTTTTTGTTTGACCAGACCTTAGTCAGGCTCCTAGGCCCATCTGTGTCCTTCTGTGTAAAATCTGGCTTTAGCAAAAAAAAAAAAAAAAAAAAAAACCACCCATCCTTGATATTTGATCACCATTATCTGTTCACTTGCAATCTAACCAGGTTTAAAGCTTAGGTCAGGGATATCCAATCTTTCAGCTTCCCTGGGGCACACTGGAAGAACTGTCTTGGGCCACACATAAAACCCACTAACACTAATGATAACTGATAAGCTCATGTATCCACATATATGGCAAAAAAAATCTCATGTTTTAAGAAAGCTTATGAATTTGAGTTGGGTGTCATTCAAAGCTGTCTTGGGCCACATACGGCCCACAGGTTGGACGAGCTCGCTCTAGGTGATGTCCGATCACCCCGGCCTGCCTTCAGTAAGAATCTGTTAGGTCAGCTTACCCAGAATCCACCTTACCACCCTGATGTTTCCTTAGTCATTTTCCATCCACTGATCCCCACCCTGCTCCCTGGTTTCCCACTTGCCCATGCTATACTCAGAGCTGAGCCCAATCTCTCTCCTTCACTACAAAATCCCATTGCTCTGGTCCCTACACCCATTGCAATGGTCTTGAATAATTAATGTGCTTTTAATAAGCATCATTAAGTAATTTATTTAACATAAGATTGAGAAGATTAAATACGGTAACCCAGGGCATTTGATCTGCTTACTGGAGGTCAGAGACAGAATAATGGGCCCAAGACAACAGAGAATGGCTCCTTGAGTTCTTGTCTTGGAACAAGAGAAACTGCCCTGCTCGGAAGGAACAGAAGGTTGCTGTGCCTCCGTGATGGAGGGGTGGACAAGGGCCGATTGTCTGCAGGATGGCCCCCATGGTTCCCTCTAGTATCCTAGGAGTGGCTCAGTCACCTCCTGCTCACAGCTTCTCCAACAGGCTGTTACATGGCTGCTTCCCACCCTGCCTCCCAAGCCCCAACTCTCTACTCCAAGGGCCCTGCATCTCTAGAGCCACACAAGGGGCCCTCTGTACCCCTACAAGCTGGGGAGATTCCAACTGCCTCATCAGGACAGGCTTCAAAGTCCTGCCTGTGTCTCAGAGCCCAGAGGCTCTTGTGCAAAGGGGCAGCTCGAGTCTGGGCAAGGAGTTCCAGTGGGCCAGAAGGCGACTTGTACTGCGCAGGCCACCTACAAGACCTGGGAACAGTTATTAGCTCACTGTCCTGGAAAAGCCCAGACGGGTGTGGTCAGAATACAAGAAGGAAGACACTCTCCACACACACTTCAGTGTCTACCCCAGACTGGTCTCCTCCGCGGAGGCACCGCTCCCTTTCCACGTCTACACAGGCTCTGAATCCCCCTTCAACACGGCTGGCCTTGACCCTTGGGGAGACACCTCCCCACCCTCTTACCTTGACCACATGAATAGCAGGAGGTGCAGGGTGATTCTGATCCCCCCAGGAGACCCTCCCTCCATCCTTCCCAGCTGTCCCTACCCCTCACCTCCCTGCAGCCTTCACCTCTCCCTCCCCAGACCCGATGGCCTGGAGAAGCGTGGGAGGCCAGGGAGGGGCAGGGCCCAGGCCTACTCTGGACCCGCTGCTCCAGTCCCCACCTCAGCTGGGCCTGTGCCTCCGGGTCAGCTCACCGCGGCCCTCAGCCCAGGTACCTACCCTGCCGGGCTTCCTGGTGCCGTCCTGTCTGGTCCGATCCAGCAGGCCACGGGTTCCTCTCAGGAGCCGCCCCTTCCCCGTTGCCAGGCAACACTGCTGAGGGGCAGTCATTTGCCCCAATCGTGGAAGCAGAGGTGTGGGGCGGAACCCAATGGAGGAGTCAGCCAATGGAGACGCACCTCACAGGGAATGGGCCGAACCTGGTGGGTGCGGCGAGGAGGCGGGGCTGCGGTCTGCGGGAGGAGCCGCTGCAGGCCCGGGAATCCGGTCCAGCTGCGTGCTTACCCAGGCGCCGCCTGGAGAGGGTGGCCGATGACTCAGGCCCGGCAGCGCCTAGGGCCAGCAGTGGTACCTGGGGAGAAGGGGTGTCTGGGCTGGGCGCTGGAGCGGAGCAGCCAGCGTGTGGGAGATCCTGGGGGAGAGGCTGAGCTTGGGGATGAAGACACCCCGGGGGAGTAGAGTGGCCCATGTGGACACAGCCGAGAGGAGGCGGGACTCTCCCCTGCAGAGGCCTCCACAGTACAGCCTCATGGGCCCCAGGCAACTGCCCCCCGACTCCCCGGCCTGCTGGTCCTGGCCTGGAGCCTTGGGACCGCCTCCGCTCGGGCCTCCCCTCTGCCGGCTGCCCCTGCCTCGCTCTTCCCTGGCACCAGGTCCTTCCCGGCAGCCATCAGGCGCCAGCTCCACAGCCTGGCTAAACAGACTCCCTCCACCCCACGTGCCCCGCTTCAGCCGGTCCCTCTTCACTCCAAGACGTCTGAACCTGTCACCCTACTTCTTCAGCTCGTTCCTTCCCAAACCCTCCGAAACCTAGTCCCGGGGGCCTGGTCACTACATCCAAGGGGCGCTTTGGGTCCCCCCAGGCAGCATTTGGCGCTTGGTGATCGAGCTCTCAGAGCTCTCTCGTGGGCGCCCCGGCACCCATTCCTGGCCCTGGCTCGCTCGCTGTCGCTAGTGGTCTTCCCTGGGCCCTTCTGGCCTCTGCTTTGGAGTTTCTCGGCTTCTCTCTACTCTCTCCACCCCACGCATCCTCCCTGGGGACCACCTTCCTGCAGATTCAGCTCCCACATGTCCGCGGTACCGGCTCCCTCCCCTGCACAACCTGCTGGTTTTCCAGCCTGGAAAACTGTGACCTCGCCCCCAGCACCGCGCACTTATCAGGTGTCTGCACGAGGCTGTTTCACCAGGGCCTCAAAACTCAGCCTCTTTCCTCCAGAACTGAGTTTACCTCCTGCCTTGGTGCATCATCTCCCCTTCCACAGCCTGAGTCAGAGACGCGGAGTCACTGTGGACGCAGCCTCCCCACTCTCTCCCCATGTCTGAGTGCTCACATCTGACTTCTAGGATGTGCCCTCCATTCGCCCGCTCCCCTCCACGTCCCCGGGACTCCCAGGCTGGAGGGCAGTAATGGCCTCCTTCCTTCCTGCAGCTCATCCCCACAGTGGGACTATAAAAATCCACCTGGTGAGGCAGGCGGACTGCTTGAGCTCAGGAGTTGGAGACCAGCCTGGGTAACATGACAAAACCCCATCCCTACAAAAAAAAACTAGCTGGGTGGGGTAGTGCACACCTGTAGTCCCAGCTACTCAAGAGACTGAGGAGGGAGGATCACGTGACCCTGGAAGGTTGAGGCTGCAGTGAACTGTGACTGTGCCACTGCATTCCAGCCTGGGTGACACAGTGAGGCCCTTTTCTTAAAACCGCAACAACAAAAATCCAGCTGACCACTCATCGAGCTGGAATAACAGGCTCAGATGAAACCAGCCGCAAAGTTAACAAGGAACTTTGCTTTTCAAGGACACGCTGCAGCAGTTATCGCATGTCACAAATCACCAATTTGCAAGAACTTTGCTATCTGAAATCCTATCACTAAGAAGCAAACAGCCTGCTCCTCCCTGGAGGGTGTAAATCACTTTGATACGGAAGCAGCTTGGGTTTCCAATCTGGAGGAAGAGCCCCAAACAGTCCACTTTCCGGCTCAGTATTCCATAACTATCATGACCTGGGGGCCCCCCAAAAAACAGGAGCCTCTTTGCAGACCTGGCCTGATGCTGCCTGCCTCCCACCTAGCCTTGTTCTGAGCCTATCAGAAGCCTGCCTCATCTACACCTGTGATCCCAGCACTTTGGGAGGCAAAGGCGGGTGGATCACCCGAGGTCAGGAGTTCAAGACCAGCCTGGCCAACATGGTGAAACCCTGTCTCTACTAAAAATACAAAAATTAGCCAGGCATGGTGACAGGCACCTGTAATCCCAGCACTTTGGGAGGCTGAGGCGGGTGGATTACCTGAGGTCTGGAGTTCTAGACCAGCCTGGTAAAACCAGGTGAAACCCAGTCTCTTCTTAAAGTGCAAAATTAGCTGGGCATGGTGGTGGGTGCCTGTAGTCCCAGCTACTTGGGAGGCTGAGGCAGGAGATTCACTCGAACCTGGAGGTGGAGGTTGTAGTGAGCTGAGATGGCACCACTGCACTCCAGCCTGGGCAACACGACAAGACTCAGTCTCAAAAAAAAAAAAAAAAAGGGCTGCCTCATCTAAACCTCACCTGAGCTCCACCCTTCTACAAGATCCTAGGAACACTCTCTTTACCTGTGTCCCTTGAGCTGCCCAGGGTTCCCTGGGGCCACGGATGAACAGGCCTGACTGTCAGACTACGGGCTCCATGCTGGTGGTGTCAGGCTAGTTGGGCTGGCACAACTGTAAGACCACCGGGCAGCATTTGTCTCTACGGTTTGCAAATACCTACTGCACACCTACTACGTGCCAAGCGCTATGCCAGGCAGTGGTGACCCAGCACCAACAGCCTCTGACCTCCACATGCTCCACCTCTAGCACTCAGTCCCCACTTGCCGAAGAAGTGGGGCATGACGGGTACATTGAGGGGAGAGGGATGGTTAGGGAGCAGGTGGCTGTGGATTAGATAAGGAAAAAAAACAAGGACATTGGAAGGGTTGAGGGTGAGGGTACCAGCAAAGCAAGAGGTGGGATTTAAAGATACAAACAGGAACCTCTAGGCTTGAAAATACCTCAGGGGCCATCTGAACATTTTCCTTTCTTGCGTCAAGGGTCTGCTGCCTTTCCAAGCCTTTTCATCATCAGAATCCAGCACCACCCTCCCAACACCCCTGGAGGGGAGGCATTGCTCCCGTCATGAAAACAGTGGGCTTCAGAGAAGTGACTTTTCCGGGGACACACAGCTAGAGTGCGTCCCCGCAAGTCTGGGGACAGGGACTCTGGCCTCCAAGTCTGAGTCGGGGGCTCTTCCCGGTGCGGCACACTCGCTGCTGTGGAAGTAACTTGGTTTGATCAATCTGCGGCCATTTCTATGGAGTGGGAGGATGGAGCCTCTGGTTTTCAAAGACCTCATGGGGTCAGCCCTCAGTGGACATTGTACTTGCAGGTGGAACCCAAGATGCCCCAGGGAAGAACTCACTTCAGTAATGAGAGTACGTACGGGCTGTCCTCCAGCCCATAGGTGCCAGTTGACAGGGACTCCATGAAGCCACTACACTGTAAGGTGATGGTGGCACAGGGCTTCATAGCTGCTGTGAGGAAGTGGTGGGGAAGAGTCTTTACCCTCTGCCTCCTCCCTCTCCCCCTCCAATAGGTGGCCGGCCTGGACCACCCCCGGCCTCCCACCTCCACGGCTGCCTCCCTCGCTGCCTGCTGCTCTCCAACTCAGTCACTAGAGTGACAGAAAATCACATTACCCCACTTCTGAAAGCCCTTCAAAGGCTTCTTGCCATGGTTCACAAGGTCTTGCCTAACTTCTAATCTCACCTGCCACCCGATTTCTAATCTCACTGGTGGGGGCAGGGGTGATCTCCCCGGCCCTTCTGCCAGCACTCAAGAGAAGCCTTTCTTTCTCACTCCTCCCTGGGCGGGGCACCGCCAGATTGTAGCCCGGCCCTACCCTTCTCACCTTCCAGGTTTGGGCTCACCACGAGCTCTGCTGGGAGGCCTGCCTCCACCACACTCAGGCCTCCCTGCCTGTCTGCTTCCTGCTTGCGCTTCCCTGATCGGCTTTTGTGGCCCTTGCTGCTCTCTGCCATTGTTTTATTTTGCTGTGTTTTTTCCTCTTCTCCCCCCCCTACACTCCTAGAATGCAGGCTCCTAGTAAACACACCTGCCAGCTTTGCCTTAATACAGAGCCAAGTGCCTGGCACCTGGTGGGTGCCAATAAATATCTGTTGCAAGAAGGAAAGGATAGGGTGGCCGCTTGCAGTGATGTCATTTTGACTCCAGCCTGATTATGCAACAGCAGCGCCAGCACCTGCCAAGAAGACCTCCGCACTGAGCGTAGCCATGCTCAGCCGGTGAATTCCAGCCAACGACTGGAAGGCTGGAGTCTCAGCCGGCCACCCTGATTCAGGGACACAGGATGACAGCACCTGTCGTGTGCCCACCCAGCTGTGCCAGCCTTTGGGGAGCTCCCTGGCTCCAACATCAGCTGATCAGGGCTGGATGGACTGCCTATCTGGGTGTTCTCACCTCCTGCCAACCAAATATCCTTTTTTTTTTTTTTTTTTTG